CCTGCAGCTAGGAAGGTCATCCAAGGTGTTCAATCAATATGGAACCACAATGACTTGTCCGATATGAGATAATGCGTTAAACTAGAAAAATGATGGACTGAAAATGACTTTGACTCCCCTCAAAAAATGTTCTTGACTCTTGAAATAATGAGATAATGAGGATCAATTTGTAATGAAATGCTACTTAGATTTGAACTTTGGCTTGTAATCCATCTAAAAACCCCTTGAATGGAATTTATTTATCTTAATTGTCAGCTACCTTAAGTCTTCCACTGAAAGAAAGAATTCTCCAAATTTAAGGAATAAATAAATGTGAGTTTGTCTTTCAATGTCATCTAATTGTAGTTCTAACTTTGGGAGGCATTGGAGGACAGGGGGTCCTGGAGTACTATGGTTCTTGGGAGATGAAAGAGTTGGAAACAAGTAGCAATTAACAACAAAACTGTAATTCTTCAATGGAAAGGACCTTGTCTTAAATACCTGACTTGCAGAGGTTGGTTGCTATCAGTTTGTACCGGTTTGGGAGAACTGTTAGTGGAAATTTGGTGTGGTTCCCCAAACAGATAGTGACCTCTGACTGGCCCTTCCCCTGAACCGATTCCCACTTGCTCACCCCACCCACCCGAAGCTCGCTTGCCCTGCCTGCCCACCCGCTCTGCCCAACCACTAGTTGCAGAATCTAACCGTGTACTTCTGCTCACAGCTGCTGGCAAAGGTAAGGCCGAAGGGCATTGGCCAGTGGGTGGGCAGGGGAGGAAGAGCTGGTGGAGGGGAGATATCAGCAGTGGGTGTTGGACCGATGTGCGTGGGGAGGGAGGGGAACATGAGGGAGATCATGGCACCGTAGTTCTTCTTATGAGTTTCCCCCAGCTGGTCTGGCCTGCGAGGGAAGCACATGGGAGATCCCAGCTGAAGTTTACTCATGAGCAATATTGGCTGGGAGAGGAAGGGAGAAAGGCCAATGGTGCTCACAAGTAAACTGGTGCTCCTAAGGGGGGGGTCGAGCCTCCCCACCAACAACATGTTCACCTGAGGGCATTTCTGGCAGCCACTTCCTGCACCTCCCGTCCTGTGCTCTTCCCACTGCTGCTCGGCCTCCTCGATGCACAGAGGCAGGAGGCAGCAGTTTCTTTCACTGCCCGTGAGCTGCTGGCTGCGATCTGCAGATTGAGTAAACCAGCGATCTGCTGGCTGCCTCTATTCTGCAGTTTACTTGTGAGCAAGCTTACTGGTTAACATGATGCTCTCAAGTAAACTGCAGATTACAGGAAGCCGGCAGATCCCTTGCTCTGCTGCTCGCCTGGCAGAGCGCAGTCTGGCAGCTCTGGGTTGTCTCTCAGGCGTTGTGTGCAGGGAAAAACCTTGCAAAGTAAAGAAAAATTTCTCTTGAGTGTGAGAATTTAATTGCCTCGCAGTCGCAAGAAGTTTTTCTTTACTGTGGAAAAGTTTTTCCCTGCACGCAATGGCTGAGAGATGACCTGGAGCTGTCACTCTCTGGTAAAATGCACGTCTCGCAGTGGGTCGCAATTTGGGGTGGCAGGTGGGGTGGGGGATGGGGGGGAGCTCGGGAAGCTTTACAGCTACATGGCTACAAAGGATGCCCGGCCAGCTCCCATCTCTCTGCCGGCCAGCGCCTCCTGAAGCCGCCAGTGTTGCATGCAGCTGTTGTGCTTGGACTGATAGGGGCAGCAGCAGCCCTCTCCTGTCTTTCTCCAGCTGTGTGAGAAAAAATGGAGGAGGACTTCACAAACCAAAGAGAATTCTTCTCTTTCGGCACCAGAGCCAAAGCTAAAAGAAACTGGAGGGGAGAAAAAGAGGGAGGGTAGGAACAGGGGAAGGGCAAATTTTTCATTGTTTTAATTCCATAGCAACTTCTACTTAGTTGTTGGTTCTATAACAACCAACTACTCTCAAGGTTCAGTGCAGGTATTCCAAACTAACGAGTCTTAATGTCTGGTTAAAATGGGTAGTACTTCCATTGAAAGAAGAAAAGCATAGCTCAGACAATTGCTATGATTTTTTTCTCCTATATTCTGTTGTTTAGGTTTAAATTTTGTTAATGTAGAAATTTTACTTACAGCCTATTAAACAATGGAGCTAGCTGTCTGCCCGCAATCATGTGTATCTATTAGGAGTAAATCCCACTGAAAGGGAGTAGCCTTACTGCCAATTAAACATGCAAAGGCTTTACGTAGTTCAGAGATAGGGTATTGATTAGTATCAGGTGTATTATAGAGAGAAATTAGAACTTCTGTAACAACAGATATTTTGTGCCCAGATCACGTCTGTGTGTGTGTGTGTGTGTGTGTGTGTGTGTGTGTGAGAGAGAGAGAGAGAGAGAGACAGAGACAGAGACACAGAGAGAGAGACAGAGACAGAGACAGAGAGACAGAGAGGAAGGGAGGGAGAGAGAGAGAGGGAGAGAAGAAAGAAAGAGACAAAGAAAGAGAAAGAAAGAAAAAGAAAGAAAGAGAAAGTGTGAGAGAGAGAGAGAGAAGAGGGAGAGACCAAGAAAGACAGAGAGGAAGGGAGAAAGAGATAAGAAAGAAAAAAAGAAAGAAAGGGGAAGAGGGGGAGAGAGAGAGACAAGAAAGAAAAAGAGTCAAAGAAAGAAAAAAAGAAAGAGAAAGAAAGAAAGAGGAAGGAGGGGGGAGAGATACAAGAAAGAAAGAGAAAGAGGAAGAAAAAGAAAGGAAGGGAGAGTGCATGTTTGTGTGTATGAGAGAGACGGATTGTAGGGGCAATAAACTGACTTTGTATAAAAAAGAACACCGCTTGGGGGGACCGAAAGCCCTACTAAGCAGGTATATACAAAAATATGAAGGCTATTGCTTAACGCATTATAAGCCGCCTGAGTCTCCGGAGAAGGGCGGCATATAAATCGAACTAACAAATAAATAAATAAATAAATAAATAAATAAATAAATAAATAAATAAATAAATAAATAAATAAAATGAAAGAAAGAAAGAAAGAGGAAGGAAGGGAGAGAGAGAGAGAGTACACTCTGTGCTATTATTTTTAATTGTTCCATTATTTATCATGTGTTAATATTTTACACTTTCCCTACACCTAGAGTGATTTTATTGCCTTTCTTTTGCCCAGGGCTACCACATAGTTTTCAGGGATTAATTTATTTTATTTATTTATTTATTTATTTATTTTTATTTCTATACCGCCCTTCTCCCGCAGGACACAGGGCGGTGCACAGCCAAAAATAAAACATTGTATACAAAATTTAAAAAACAATTTAAAAACAATTAAATATTTTTGGCCCAAATAATTTAAAACAACCCAAATTAAAACCGAATCAATTAAAACTGAGAGGACGGGATCAAGCCAGCCCAGCTAGATGGAATAAGTGTGCTTTTAGGGCCCGACGAAAAGTCCGGAGGTCTGATATCGTGCGTATCTCTGGGGGTAGGTCGTTCCAGAGGGCTGGTGCCGCCACAGAGAAGGCTCTCCCCCTGGGGGTCGCCAGCCGGCACTGTCTGGCCGACGGCACCCTGAGGAGGCCCTCTCTGTGTGAGCGAACCATGCATTCAATGTCTATAGTCCAGAGCATAAATATGTGTGTGTTTATTTTGTACATCAGGTTGCATAAGTCCATCTTAATATGCTATTCCTGGTATGTGATGCTTTGTATACATACAGAGAAAGAAGCACTCTTGTGATCTTTGACTTTTAGGCTTCAGACATAAACATCAGCCATAATACTAATGACTGTTTTGAACAATATGCGCAAATGCCTATTTTATATGTGAAATTATGACTGAACTATTTCTGCACCTATATTGGTTCTCACTGTCGGGAAGTTTCTCCTTAGTTTTAAGTTGCTTCTCTCTTTGTTCAGTTTCCATCCATTGCTTCTTGTTCTGCCTTCTGGGGCTTTGGAAAATACATTGCTCCCCCCTTCTTTCTGGCAGCCCCTTAAAAGCCTGTTGCCTATCACACTCTTGGGCAAAGCATGGGAGCCATTTCCTCCTTTCAGTGGCCCATGAAAGTACATCTATAGTATGTAGATAATAAAGTTGAAAAAAGGTGAACAACATTTTTACAGAACTATAGATATGTTGAGGCTGGGTGTGACAAGGAATGGCTGGGAGGGGAGGGGCCAGGCGAGGCACCGCTTGACGTGAGTGACATTGAGTTGGCCACACCCACCCAGTCACATGACCATCAAACCACACCCAGTGTCACATGACCATCAAGCCATGCCCACAAAATAAGCCAAAATTTTTACATCCCATCCCTGCTCACTTGGCCTTAGAGCCTTGTACAGTGGTTTAGTGCACCCTGTCATTAACACAGCTGCCTGCAATTTCTGCTGGTTCGAATGAGGACCCAGTTTGTGGGGGCAATAAGCTGACTTTGTATAAAATATACAAAAGAATGAAGGCTATTGCTTAACGCATTGTAAGCCGCCCTGAGTCTCCGGAGAAGGGCGGCATATAAATCAAATTTTATATATATATATACCTCATTTGAGGTTGACAGCCCTAATTGGTGATGATTTTTGTCTTCATATCTTAACTGGAACAAAGATTTGGGTGATTTTCAAAGGGGAGAGGCTTTGCAATATTTTACTTAGTCCAGGAGAAACCTTTTCTTGATCTACTGCTCAGAGTTTCTTTCTTAAGCACAGTTTCATTTTATTTTAGTAAATCAATCTAATAAATAAAAATTTGGCAGATATTTTAGAATGAATGTTGTTTTTCTGCTTAGTCTCTGCCTCAGTCCAAATGTGTGGACAGTTGTCACCCTGGATTTGTAAAACGGGCTCGGAAAGAAGAACCAATTTGCTGCTACGATTGTATTCCTTGTCCGGAGGGGACCATCTCCACACGGGAAGGTGGGTGACACCAGAGGAACTCTGGCTTTCCTGTCTCTCGGTATCAGCTGTCATTCAAAGAAGGTCTTTCTTGGAATGTGAAAGGAGAGACTAAAAAAATAATATTACTTATTCTTTTCTCAGATACTGAAAAATGCACCAGGTGCCCAGATGACAAATATCCCACTGATGACAGAATCCAATGTATCCCCAAAAGAATAACCTTCCTGTCCTATGAAGAACATCTGGGCATCATCCTGGTCTCCTTTGCTGTACTCTTGTTTCTAACAACAGGTCTTGTTTTAGTCATATTCCTTAAATACCTAGAAACTCCCATTGTCAAAGCTAACAACCGGGACCTGTCCTACATCCTCCTGGTTTCCCTCTTGCTTTGCTTCTTGTCCTCCTTTTTCTTCATTGGCCGACCAAGGAAAGCCACCTGCCTTCTCCGACAAACTATGTTCAGCATCATCTTCTCAGTAGCTGTGTCTTGTGTGTTAGCCAAAACAATCATGGTAGTGCTGGCCTTCCTGGCCACGAAACCAGGGAACAGGGTGAGGAGATGGTTGGGGAAGAGCTTGGCCAACTCCATCATCCTTTCTGGTTCTGCTGGAAAAATTGTCATTTGTGCAATCTGGCTGGGAGTTTCTCCTCCGTTTCCTGATTTTGACCTGCACTCCCAATCAGGACTGATCATCCTTCAGTGCAATGAAGGCTCTGTGACCATGTTTTATGTGGTTCTCTGCTACATGGGTTTCCTTGCTGCCGTTTGCTTCACAGTGGCTTTCCTGGCCAGGAACCTGCCTGGGGCCTTCAACGAAGCCAAACTGATCACCTTCAGCATGCTGGTCTTCTGCAGCGTCTGGATCTCCTTCCTGCCCACCTACTTGAGCACCAAAGGGAAATACATGGTGGCCGTGCAGGTTTTCTCCATCTTGGCTTCTGGGGCTGGCCTGCTGGGCTGCATCTTCTTCCCCAAGTGCTACATTATCATCCTGAGACCAGATCTAAATACTAAGGAACATTTAATGATAAAAATCGGTATCTGATCATGAAGTAGTTTCTTAAGCTCATAACACTTAATTATTTATTGCAGTTATTATTGAGTTTGTATGCTTTTTTTGACAGTTAAGGTTATTTAAAAGCAAAAGAAATAAACATACAAAGAATGTAAGACTAATGTAAGATAATCATCAAAGTTTAAAATAAACAAATTAATAATTGAAATTGTCATGAAACTAGGGAAGGACAAGATAAGAAATGAGATTTTATTATTGTATATGACTGATTGACTGAATAAATAAATAGACAAATGTTTGAAACAACTTTACCGGTCAGTAGGTGGGAACCTTTTCCACTTTGTAAAATCTTTATTTTTTGTAATGTTTTGTAATATACAGCAAAGAGGTGATTTTAGTGTTGTTTTTGGAAAACTTTCCTCAGCTGAAACTGGGGAAAGTCTAAAACTCTTTTGGCCAGGTGTTCAGAGCCATTAGTGAACCCAGTTCCTGACGTGCCAGGAATGAGCTCATCCTCCCTTGAGCTGACTTCTGAGGAAGACTCTGGGGAGTTGTCCAAGGAGGACATCATACTTTCTTCTGTTTGTTTAGTAAACAAAGACACTTCAAAGTATAAACCTTCTCGGTGTCTTACATGAATACTGAAGGGCAAGTATAAGGAAAAAAAGTCTATCCTCATAATGTATTCCATATTTACCCAATGATACAGTTGGCCAATTATCTATTTCCAGACCCTTTGTCTCAAATATCACCCCAAAGTTGATATTTCTAGGGCAAATGAAATTTCACTATCACATGAGCAATTTTAAAATCACTTCCAATTTGGGATTAATACATGGAGATCTAAAAGAAAAGTAAATTACAAACAGATCCTATTCTTAACATTAGGCAGGGTTCATGGTTACAGATTTCTTCCTTAACATTAGAAGACAGGCAATATTAGAATTAAGCATCATCAACCTAAGTGTCAGGCATGCCTCCTTACAGATTTCAAGAAAAAATGACCCCGACTCCATTTTCATAGATAAAGGTACTTTTACTGAAATTGAACTGAATGCAGCCAAGGAAAGCAAGGTTTGAGGCAATAGGCATGAAAATTACATATAGAAAGCATCCTCTCCCAACTGTCCAGCGTAAATCATCCAATCCAAAGGTCCTCCAGAGGTCAGGTGGAATCACATGTCTGTCATTGTCATCAATCTGGAATGTCAGGAACATTGACTCGATAGCAACTTCAAAGGCACAGGACTGCAGCTAAGATTCACTGTTGTTTCTCCTTTCATTTCTCCTCCAGCACGCTTCCCCCTCTAGCAACTTCCTAGCTCCCCCTCCCCCATTACCATGGCAGCCGACAAGCAAGCATTGAAAGAGCGGAGGCTGACATTCGGCCCCCCTTCAAAAGAGACATTATTCCTGGAAAAGATAAAAGGGAGATAAATATTCAATATACAATATGTACATGGATTAATGGATTAAGGTTTATCAGGATATTTGGTGTGAAACAATTGTACTTTCTTCGGCGCTTGTACATCTCTTTTATTTACCCATTCAGCTTTTGACAATGGGAAATGTTTCCAGGCCACCAAATACTGCACCTTACCACGATGCTTCCTGGAATCCAAGATTTCCTTGACATCAAAATGCTGTTCTCCTTCAATCAGAATGGGGACAGAAGTACGTTCTTGGTCTGGATGCAAAGGGGACGAAAGTTCTGGTTTGAGTAAACTGACATGGAATACCGGATGAATTTGTCGTAAATTTTTTGGCAACTCCAATTGAACCGTGACTGGGTTAATGACCCGAACTATCGGAAAAGGGCCCACATATTTGGGTCCAAGCTTTTTTGACTTTTGGGTAGTTTGCAAGTATTTGGTGGAAAGGCAAACTATGTCACCAACTGTGTAAGCTCGTGCTTGACCCTTTTTTTTATTGGCCTGGGCTTTGTGAGCTCGATGCGCTTCATTGAGTGCCTTACAAGTTACTGACCAAGTGCCACGTAGCTGTTCGATCCAATCAATCAGAGAGGGGTTTTTTTGGATTGTTTTGGGGCAACTCTGGAATTGGCATAAAGTCTTGGCCAGAAGCCACCTTGAAAGGGGTGAACCCAGTGCTGCTATGTATGGAGTTATTATAGGCCACCTCTGCAAATGGCAATAATTCTGCCCAGTTATCTTGCTGATAATTGACATAACACCTCAAATATTGTTCCAGTACGGAATTGGTTCTCTCACAAGCCCCATTTGACTCAGGATGGTGGGCGGAGCTTAATCCCTGGGCGGAGCCTATTAACGCTAGGAATTCTTTCCAGAAATGGGAGGTAAATTGAACACCCCCTATCAGAGATTATACATTTTGGAGCACCATGTAATCTGTACACATGTTGGACAAACATTTTCGCAAGTGTTTTTGTGGAAGGAATCTTGGGGCATGAGATGAAATGCACTTGTTTGGAAAACAAATCAGTGACCACCCAAATAACTGTGTCCCCCCCCCCTTTTGGGCAATTCTACAATAAAATCCATGGAGATCTCTTTCCAAGGGGTATCTGGCCTGGCAACACTCTGAAGTAGTCCAGGCAGCTTCCCTGGAGGACTCTTGGCTGAGGCACACACGGGGCAGCTAGCTACTTATGCCTCTATGTCTTTCTTGAGTGCGGGCTACCAGAATTGTCATTTGACTAAATGTAGTGTTTTGACAAATCTGAAATGCCCAGCAACTTTGGCATCATAAGCGTTGCTCTCAGACTAGCGGGATCATACAACTTGGCTCCCACCCAAGCCAGACCATTGCGAAATGTACACTCATTCGAGTGGGCTTGAAACCACTCGTTGGTCTTTAGAGCTTCTTGTAGTTGCTTAGACAAGTCATCTGATAAATCTGGATCTGCCTTAGCCTGCGCTCTAGTAGTTACTGGTGCCGCCAGCTGTGTTGAGGGGATGATTGGCCAAATCACTTTCTCTCTAGCACTGTTGTATTGCGGCAGTCTGGAAAGCGCATCTGCCATAACGTTCTTTGTTCCAGGAAGGTAGCGCAGGGAAAAATTAAAACGTTTTAAATGCTGTGCCCAGCGGACTTGCTTTGGGGACAGTTTACATGGCATTTTCAAAGCTTCCAAGTTCTTTTGGTCAGTCCACACCTCCAAGGGTTGCTTAGCCCCTTCAAGGAATTGCCTCCACGTTAACAGGGCCCAACGCACCACGAAAGCCTCCTTCTCCCATATGGCCCTTCTCCTCTCGTTCTCTGTCAGTTTATGAGAGGTATAAGCACAGAGCATTCATTTGCAGAAGAACTGCTCCTACTGCTACATCGCTGGCATCAACCTGTACAACAAACGGTTCTTCCACGTCAGGAGGCTTAAGGACTGGTTCAGCAGCAAACAGGCGTTTTAGTTTCTCAAATGCTGCCTGACAGTCCATAGTCCATTCGAGGGGTCGGTAGGGCTTTGGTTGTGAAGTTTCCGAAAAATGCCCTAATTAATTCATGAGCCATGAGCCAAACTTCAAAAGAAATACAGTCATTTATTAGGAGCACCATTTCGGCATTATTCGGATGCAGTTAGAACTAATCCCACATAGATTCACGTTCCCCTATGAACCTGTTTCTCCCCTCCTCCCTGGCCCTGTCATAAATCACATTCTTCAATTAACCAGCCTTGGTAGTACAGTGGTCTAAAGCACTCTGTTATTAAGACCAGCTGCCTGCAATTACTGCAGGTTCGAATCTCGCCAGGCTCAAGGTTGACTCAGCCTTCCATCCTTTCTAAGGTAGGTAAATTGAGGACCCAGTTGTGGGGGCAATAAGCTGACTTTGTATAAATATACAAAAGGATGAAGGCTATTGCTTAGCACATTGTAAGCCGCCCTGAGTCTCCGGAGAAGGGCGGCATATAAATCAAATCAAATAAAAAAAAAAAAAAAAAAAACCACTTTGGCTGGCTGTGAAATTTAACACCCTCCCTCTGATTGCGGTCAGGAAGCATGTATGGAATGTAACTTCAATTAGTCAATCAGCTCTATCAATTCTCCCTTCCTCCTGCTCATGGCAACGTGAAAGCTTTGCAAGTTGACATTGGTTTTACTTCTCCTTTTGTCTTCAAAAGATTGGTAATCGGCAGAGCGATTTTGATGAACGAGGGGATGAACTGTCTATAGAAGTTAGCAAATCCCAGAAAGCTCTGTAGTTGTTTGCGGGTGCGTGATGGGGCCCATTCCAACACCGGCTGGACCTTTTCTGGCTCCATCTCTATTCCCTCAAGCGAGATGTCGGTACCCGAGATAGTCAACTTTGTTTTGGTGGAATTCACAGTTTGAGAGTTTGGCATATAGTTCAGCAGCCCTGAGTTTTTTCAGGTCAGTCCTCACCAATTTCACATGGTAGTCCATGTTCTTGGTATAGATAAGGATGTCATCCAAGTAGACCAGCACCCCCTTGTATAAGTATTCATGCAGTACTTCGTTGATTAATTGCATGATCACAGCAGGGGCTCCTTGTAGTACGAAAGGGAGCACCCGAAACTGGAAACATCCCAGCGGGCAGTTAAAAGCCATTTTCCATTCATCCCCTTCCTTAATTCGAACTCTGTAGTAAGCCTCTCATAAATCAAGTTTGGTGAAAATTTTCCCCTTGCCTAGGTGGGCCAGCATGTTCTTCATCAGCGGCAGGGGTAGACATTTTCTACGCAAATGGCGTTCAGGTTTTTGTAGTCAACTACAAGGCGAAAGGACCCATCATTCTTCTCCCAGAATAGTACTGGTGCTGCCACCCTTGGCCTGGCTGGTTGGATGAAACCTCGTTCTAGGTTTTTGTCAATAAAGTTCCATAGTTCACCCAGCTCCCAAGGGGTCATGGGGTAGATTTTTAGTTTAGGGAGTTTTAGTCCAGGAAGTATTTCAATGGTATAGTCCGTTGGCCTGTGGGGATGTAACACATCAGAGGTCTTTTTGCTAAAAACCTCCCGGAGGTCCCAATACTCCTTTGGAATCTTCTCCTCCCCTTCAATGTGATCTATTGCC